AAATAAATAAATAAATAAATAAATAAATAAATAAATAAATAAATAAAGTAAGTAAGTAAGTAAATAAGTAAGTAAGTAAGTAAGTAAGTAAGTAAGTAAGTAAGTCATGTGCACACTTACCTGGATGTAAGCCTCACCAAGATTTACCACTGATTAACCGTTCTGTCAATATTTAAAACATTTTCACAACTGTAACTAGATTTGGGCTAAAGTGGAGCTAGCCTACATATATTAAAGTGAAAGACTATGAAATTCAAATATTTTGTCATTTTGAGCTCATAACAAAGTTTGTGGCACTATTTAAAAACATGTCACATCACACCACACAAACACAGTTCTTGTTGTAGCACAACTGTGCCAGATACTTTGTATATATATCTACTCTCATGCCAATTCCATCCAGCAAAATAATGCTTCAGAAGCTCAGTGGTCTTACTTACTGGATCTGTCACAGTTGCCGGAAACATCAGGATTTCCTTGACAAAGCAGGCTTGATTGCAGACACAGCTTTTCAAGTCCTGTGGGTTTAAATTAGAATTTTATAACAATGTTTTCTTCTGGCACAATTCGTTTTCTTTTACCTGAGGACAGCTTTTTCAAACTTGAGACCTTCTAAGTACTGTATGTTTGGGCTACAACTACATAGTTCTCAGGCAGCATGGTAATCAACTATGCAGGCTGGAGATGATCAATGCTATAATCTAACACATCTACATTGGACCAGGTTGGAAAAGTCAGCCTCAAACCACAAACTGCATAATGAAGTAATCAGAGTATACATCTCTCCCATTATATAAACACTTGCACATTGTTGATTTGTGAGCTAGTTTAGGATGTATGGCTTGATGAACTCATTTGTTCATATTTTAAGACGCTGATTCCAGATTCTCATGAGAATATAGCAATTGGAAAGAAATAATGAAATCCATTGCTTGGGGAATACATTTACATAAGAAGTAAGTTGATGATTCTGAAAAATGGCAGGAGAAAAAACATTTATTTGAATAGGAAAAATTTTGAGAGAAGGGTGGCCGCTACTATAAAAAGAAAGCATTTACTGTCTGAAAAGAACTTGTGAAACATATATATGAATTGTTTGCGCTCCCAAGTTCATAAAAGCCCCAAAGCAAGGGAGCTCCATAAAGAGCTGCGTGCAGAGACTGAAGCTTCATTTAGCCTTCCAGCTACTTCCAAACCAATCCTGATTTATAAATAAACTTGTCTTAATCTCAGAGAGAGAACAGCCTCACAAGAAAATAGAGGAATTTAACTTAACTAAGAACAGTATGGAACAGGACAGGCCAACATCTACAACATCTCTAATATATTGCTGACTAAAAATTAACAAATGACATGATTTAGCCAAACTTTAAAGTCAAATAATAAATTTGCTTTTAAATGTAAGTTCTCATGGCCCCTTCACAGATTGCTGCCTTGTCATGGTGAAGGGGCTTGAGTAATTCAGAGAAGCTATGGGCTATGCTGTGCAGGGACACCCAAGATGGACAGGACATAGTGGAGAGTTCCGACTAAACACAATCCACCTGGAGCAGCCTTTGGCAAGCCACTCCAGTATCTTTGCCAAGAAAACTCCATGGACAGAAACAAAAGGCTAAAAGATATGATGCTGGAAGATGAGCCCCTCAGGTTGGAAGGAGTCCAACAAGCTATTGGGGAAGAGAAGAGGACACATACAAGTAGCTCCAGAGCTAATGAAGTAGTTGAGCCAAAGCCAAATGGACACTCAGCTGTGGATGTGCCTGGAAGTAAAAGGAAAGTCCGATGCTGCAAAGAAAAATACTACATAGGAACCTGTAATGTAAGATTGATGAACCTTGAGAAGCTGGATGTGGTCAAACAGGAGATGGCAAGAATAAACACTGACATCCTGGGCATCAGTGAATTAAAATGGATGGGAACGGGCAAATTCAATTCGGACTATTATCATATCTACTATTGTGGGCAAGAATCCCATGGAAGAAATGGAGTAGCCCTTATAGTGAACAAAAGAGTGGGAAAAGCTGTATTGGATACAATCTCAAAAATGATAGAATGATTTCAATATGAATCCAAGGCAGACCTTTCAACATCACAGTCATTCAAGTTTATGCACCAACCACCAATGCTGAGGAGAATGAAATTGAACAATTCTATGAAGACTTACAACACCTTCTAGAACTGACACCAAAGAAAGACATTCTTCTCATTATAGGGGATTGGAATGCTAAAGTAAGGAGTCAAGAGATAACAGGAATAACAGGTAAGTTCGGTTGTTTAGCTGTGTTCAAGCCTCGTATGTGCACAAGCAATTCATCGTCCACGCTCAAGCCAATATGAGCTTGTGCCCTCTCATCCTTTTGTAGATTTTCTCCAGTCAAGGGGGTGGGTGTTGCTTCTACTACGGACCATAATGACTCCCTTTTCAGTAGCAGTTGCATCTTATGAGACCATGCTGCATAATTTGTCTCAGTTAAACGACATATAGGATAGGGAGTTATCTGTTGAGTTATAGCTGCCGCTCCTCCAGACATTCCTGGTCCTTCATCTGTGTCCGACATTCTCTGTCGCTGTTTTATCTTCAATGCTACTCACTGCTCTCAAGCTTTGCTGCTCTCAGAAGCGCAGGCTGGATCCCATAACCTGTTGTGTTTTGTTTGAAGAATTTAGCAGATGTCCAGCAGAAAGAAGCACAATGAACGAAGTCAGTCCTTCTTTAGAGGTATTTTACTTGAGATGATAAGCAGTAGTAGTAGAAAATAACAGTAGATATACAGCAGTTAACAGCAAACGAACACTCCTACACACGTAACTCTTCACCAACATTAACCCACACCAAGTACTGGCGTTTTTGCCTTATATACAATGTCTCTTATCAGCTACAGCTGTGATGTCTTGCAGCTGTTCTTTTAGTAAGTCTTTCCAGAATCTCAGGGAACAAATGCCGGTTTAACCATACCACGACATTAAGAATTATGGATGGAGGCGCGTAACATTGTACAGGAGGCAGCAACAAAAACCATCGCAAAGAAAAGGAAATGCAAAAAAGCAAAGTGGCTTTCCAACGAGGCCTTACAAATAGCAGAGAAGAGAAAGGAAACAAAATGCAAGAGAGATAGGGAAAGTTACAGAAAATTGAATGCAGACTTCCAAAGAATAGCAAGGAGAGACAAGAGGGCCATGAACAGTGCAAAGATATAGAGGAAAATAATAGAAAGGAAAAAACCAGAGATCTGTTCAAGAAAATTGGAGATATTACAGGAACATTTTGTGCAAATATGGATGTGACAAAGGACAAAAATGGTAGTGACCTAAGAGAAGCAGAAAACATCAAGAAAAGGTGCTAAGAATACAGAGAGGAATTATACCAGAAAGATCTGGATGTCCTCCCGGACAACCCAGATAGGGTGGCTGCTGACCATGAGCCAGATATCCTGGAGTCTGAAGTCAAGCGGGCCTTAGAAAGCATGGTTAACAACAAGACCAGTGGAGGTGATGGCATTCCAGTCAAAGTATTCAAAATCTTAAAAGATGACACTGTTAAGGTGCTACACTCAATATGCCAGCAAGTTTGGAAAACTCAGCAGTGGCCAAAGGATTGGAAAAGATCAGTCTACATCCCAATCCCAAAGAAGGGCAGTGCCAAAGAATGCTCCAACTACCGTATAATTGCACTCATTTTACACACTAGCAAGGTTATGCTCAAAATCCTCCAAGCTAGGCTTCATCAGTATGTGGACCGAGAACTCCCAGAAGCACAAGCTGGATTTCGAAGGGGCAGAGGAACTAACAAACTGCTAACATGTGCTGGATTATGGAAAAAGCCAGAAAAACATCTACTTCTGCTTCATTGACTACGCAAAAGCTTTGACTGTGTGGACCACAGCAAATTATGGCAAGCCCTTAAAGAAATGGGAGTGCCTGACCACCTTATCTACCTCCTGAGAAATCTCTATGTGGGACAGGAAGCAACAGTTAGGAATGGGATATGGAACAACTGACTGGATCAAAATTGGGAAAGGAGTACGACAAGGTTGTATATTGTCCCCTGGCTTATTTAACTTACAGTGGTGCCTCGCATTACGATGTTAATTCGTTCCAGTGAAATCGCTGCAGAACGAAAACGTCGCAATGCAATTTTAAAAAGCCCATTGAAACGCATTTAAACAGATGAATGCGTTCCTAGGGGCTTGAAACTCACTGTCCAGAGAAGATCCTCCATAGCGCGACCATTTTCGCTACCTGCGCAGCGAAGAATCCATGCGAAAACACAGTGGGGCGGCCATTTTGTTTACCTGGTGGCCATTTTGAAACCGCGATCAGCTGTTAAAAAATCATCGCTTTGCGATGATCGGTTCCTGAAGCAGGGAACCGATCATTGCAAAGCACAATTCCCCCATAGGGACCATCATTTTGCGATCGCAAAAACAGCAATGTCAAGCGATTTCATCATCAAACAGAGCGCCCGTCTTGCGGGGCACCACTGTATATGCAGAATACAGCATGCGAAAGGCTGGACTGGATGAATCCCAAACCAGAATTAAGTTTGTCGGAAGAAATATCAACAACCTCAGATATGCAGATGATACCACTCTGATGGCAGAAAGTGAGGAGGAACTAAAGAACCTCTTAATAAGGGTGAAAGAGGAGAGCGCAAAAAATGGTCTGAAGCTCAATATAAAAAAAACTAAGATCAGGGCCACTGGTCCCATCACCTCCTGGAAAACAGAAGGGGAAGACATGGAGGTGGTGACAGATTTTACTTACCGGGGCTCTATGATCACTGCAGCTGGGGATAGCAGCCCTGAAATTAAAAGACGCCTTCTTCTTGGGAGGAAAGCGATGACAAACCTTGACAGCATCTTAAAAAGCAGAGACATCACCTTGCCAACAAAGGTCCACATAGTCAAAACTATGGTTTTTCCAGGAGCGATGTATGGAGGTGAGAGCTGGACCATTAAGAAGGCTGACCGCCAAAGAATTGATGCCTTCGAATTGTGGTGTAGGAGGAGACTCTTGAGAGTCCCCTGGACTGCAAAGAGAACAAACCTATCCATTCTGAAGGAAATCAAACCTGAGTGCTCAATTGAAGGACAGATCCTAAAGCTGAGGCTTCAATACTTTGGCCATCTCGTGAGAAGACTCCCTGAAAAAGACCCTGATGTTGGGAAAGTGTGAAGTCAAGACGAGAAGGGGATGACAGAGGACAAGATGGTTGGACAGTGTCATCGAAGCTATCAACATGAATCTGACCAAAGTCCGGGAGGCAGTGGAAGATTGGAGAGCCTGGCGTGCTCTGGTCCATGGGTCACGAAGAGTTGGACAGGACTTAATAACTAAACAACAACAACAAGCTCTCATGGATCAGAATCCGCTTCCTCAGATGCAGGGGCAACACTGTCATTTGCTCCCCCTCCCACTTTTGTCAACAGACTGAGACATACTAACATAGCTACACCTTTACTAATTCTCAACACAGTTCAACCTATAGGGCTGTCAGTCTTGTGATTTCCATGGAATA